AGGACTCAAACAGGATTCATTGTGATCTCAAGGGGGTTATCTTTTACAGTTTGTTGATACAACCAGCTTCTTTAACCTAGAGTTTAAAGGGAACCTTCCAGATAGACATTCTAAATTCATTCATATGTGCTAGTTTAAATTGGGGATGATCTTATATGAAACAAACTTTATCATGATTTGAACTTGAGTAAAAACCCTCCAGAAAGGTCATTTGCATTTATATACTGCCCTGACTATCACGCATATATGTGTCTTCCTAAGTTCCAAAAAATACCCAACACATTAGTAAGTGCCAAAACCTAAGAAACATTAGCAGTACTTTTCTTTTCATTTAGTAACCATACAAGAATGACCCAGTAATGTTCTTTTTTTTTTTTTTAAATTAAATCTTGATTTACATCTTAATAGTTCTTGAAAGAAAAACATCATGGCAAAGAATAAATAGAATGCTGAAATGGTGATATGGGGATGACAGAAAGATTAAACAATTGCTGTATTATAGAGATAAGTTGTTACACAGAAACTGCTGTAGTTCAAAAGGGTGGAAACAAATAACTATAAATAACCTAATTGAATGACAATGTGGTTAAATAAATAGTTTAGATAGTGCTAAATATAAATGAGCACTCCCTGAGAATAATTTAGTTATGGCCATTTATCTTTTGAGAGAGGAGAGGGAACAGTAAAAAAAAAACAAATAAATAAAAGGAAAAAAAACGCATTATTTCAATTGGAACAATGCATTATTTGTCAAGCTGGAACATTCTTGTTAGACATTTAATACACTTCAGTTTCAAAGAAAGCTTACTGTTGCCAAACATCATTTATGTCAGCTATGATAGGCACTTGGGAAGGTGCCTTTATAATCTCCAATTAAACATAAGACGTTTTGCAAGAGATAGCTTTAGTTACCTTATATAAATATCTTGGAATGTGGCAAGACTCAGACCTCTTGTTTGGACTTCATACTGATAATCTATAATCCAACCTTCATGAAAATATTGATTCTCTGTTCAGAAACAAATCTTGCAAAAATCCTATAGTAAGGAAATAATTTTACACAATTCATTAAACCGCTTACTGTTAACTCCCAGACTGCCTATAATGACACAATATTTGCTTATTCGGGCCAATCGGAAGAATTTTCCGACTTCCAAACTGCCATGTGCCAGACTCACTCAAGCTTGAACATGCTTGTTTGTCATTTGTGATTCAGAGTACCACACCAGATAAAAGGAGAATGGGTTAGAGAAGAGACTCTTTGTTTATTTGATTGTTTGTTGGGTGGGAGCAAATAAGCATAAGTAATTTCCCATAATAGACAAGAGATCTGCCCACTAATTTGAGCTGGATTTCTTGTCCAATCTAGAGACAACAAAAAATACATTTAATCAGTAGGGGACAGCCACAAAATGTTGTTTTATTTACAAATCAATTAAAGTGACCTGCTGACACCTCCCCAAAAAACTTGTATGGAAAAAAATTAAATTGTTTTGTCCAAACCGAATTTCATCCATTTGTTTATTCACTTTCAGCCATCATTTTTATTTTGGAATTTCATTTTTTTTTTTTATTTTTTTTTTTTGTGTGCTGTTTGACAAAAGGTATAGTTACCATATGCAATAGTGAACATTATCATATATATCAACATTGGTTTATAAACACATATGTCGTAATTCGGCACAATTTTTATATTTTTAAACATTTAAACCGTTATGGGATCCTAGGAAGCAGTTTTGTATAGTATTGGGTGTGGATATGTCCGATGGTTATGGATGTTGTTACCTAGGTCATGGGGTAGTAATAGAGGTGCGATCCATTGTGGGTGCTATTGTGTCGGGACAGCTTTATGTTGGTAGAGTGGAGTCGTATGAACCGTTAGTCCCCTTCATGGATCTGTCAGGGTTTCAAGTGGGGTGTGAGATCGGTCGGTTAGTCATGTGAGTAGCTTGTCAGGAGGCTTTTCCATTCAGTGGAGGTGTCATTTCCGTGGTCTGTGTAAGCTGCTCTTGAGGGGTAGTGACCCTAACCTAGGGGCTGTCGCGGGGGAAGTTTCATTCTGTGTCACAGTACGCAATCTTTTGGTGCACTAGTGTGCCAAGTGCCAGTGCCATCTCTGGCAAGCTCTTAAAGAGACTCTTGGACCAGGGTTTTAACTTGTGAGCCATCAACAATAACTTACTTAATAGAAAACAATAAGAGAAAAACATGAAATAAAACAATTAGCAGGTTTTAGCCTTTGAGCAACTAGGGGTAGGAGACTTCTCCCCCCATACCCGTCAGATGGCCTGAGTGTCCATTCTCCGTGTCCTCGGAGTGAATGGCTCGATCGTCACAGGGTCCCAGGCAGGGGTGGTGGTTTGGTTGTTCATGGCCGGCAGACCCAGTTTTGTTAGTAGCGCAGTAGTGTCAGATCCTGTGGTGATTTTATACATAAGTCTTTGATGTGTGGCCAGTAGGTGGTGTGGATTACCCCAATGGTATGGTATTCCTGCTGACCGTAATTGGCAGGTGAAGTCGCTGAGGGTTTTTCTCCATTGGAAAGTGGCTTTAGTTAAGTCCTGGTAAAAAGTCAATTGAGACTCCTTGAAATTGAGTGGTGTCTTGCCCTTGAGCACTGACATTATGTGCCCCCTATCTTAGGGGAGGATGCAGCGGATTATGACATCTCTTGCAAGGGGTGTATTTGCCCTAGTCAGGGTGGGTAGTCAGTATATGCCGGCAAAGGTAAGTTTCCTGGCCACTGCGGGGGTAGTATTGATTGCATGAGACGTCTTACATAGTGAGGTAGATCCTCCTTGGTGACAGAGACAGGGATACCTCAGATTTTAATATGGTTGCGTCTGTGTTTGTCCTTTGGGCTGCTATTTGAACCTTTAAGTTTTGTTGGTTGTGTTATAGTTGGAGAAAGGATTCCTGCAGCGAGGTGGTTTCTCTTTGGATCCCTTTCACTTCTCCCTCTGTGTGTACCACTTTCTCTGTGAATTGTTGCATGCTGGTTTTAAGGGTAGGTAGGTCTGCGGCTAGGAGGCTTTGTATTTCTTTCAGCATGTTTTGCATGTGCTGTAGGTCCTGTTTGGTGGCCGGGTCTGTGATTCCCTGTTGGGGTGTGGATTGTGGTTGTGTAGCCCCCTGGGTGCTTTGCTCCAATGAGTGAGTCTCTTGTGGGGAGTCTGGGCCCTGTGCGGCCACCATTTTGGTGGGTGTTTTGTCTCTGGAACATTGTGCCTATATCAGGCTGCGCTGCCACTGTACCTTGTTGGCGGTTTCTGGGATCTGCGCCCCATCCCTGAGGTTTAGTGGTCGGAGTTGTGCTGGGATGTGTCCCACACTTCCTCGAGGAAGTCCCCGCCCAGTAGGTAATCCAGGTCATGGTGGGCTGATGAAAGGTAGGCCCGGGCTCTGCACTTTGGCTTTGCCTGCTTCGGGGTGTACCAGAAGGGCATCGGACGATTCCTGGGGTCTCCCCTGTGCAATGCTGGTGCTTGTGTTGCTGGATAGCAAAATTTTGGGCTGATTTTCGGGTGATTGTGCTCGTGAGTGTTGGAGCTTCCTGAATTGGCGTCTGGTTCGTCTCATTGCCAGGCTCCGCCCCTGGAATTTCATTTTTATTAATGAAATTTTGCAATCTGTGCCATGGCTGCATCATGCAGTCATTTGGTCGATAACTCCATAAATTTCTAGATAACTCCATTAAGGAACTGCAATATGTGAAAGTACAAAATTAGTGAGCTGTTGAGTAGATAGCTCCTTTATTTGGTATTGTTATGGAATTCCCACATTAGGATTAGACAGCTATCTACTAATAAACTGAAAGATCAAAATGATGAAATCCCTTAATTTTCTTAATTTTAGTCTTTCAGAAAACTTTCAAAAACCCAAGACCAGAATCCAGCTTCCAGTAGGTAGACCTCTTAGTCCAGAGAGCAGGAACAGGAACAGGAACAGCTCTTACAAGAGCTTAGTGATTATATTCAGGGGAGTATAGTGATTATAGCATTCCCCTGAGTGTATGTAGTTCTCCAATCCCCCAAACATGAGCCAAGACTTCATGAAGGGTAGAATAAGTCTGAAGCTTTATTGGTGCCACACTGGCTTTTATACAATTTTCCCAACAAGGTTGACGCCTAGGTGGACCGTGTGGGGCACAGGGACACAATATGTACAGCCAATAAAAACAGTGTAACAATGACCGACACTCCCACATACAGTAAACAATCCCTCCACTCTGCCTGTGATATAATTAAGGTAGTTAATGCATTAACTTAATTATCCTCAGGCAGAAAAAACACACATTTTTATAAAGTACCATAAGTACCCCAAAACATAACATATCCCCTGACAGCTCTGATCTGGGTGAACAACATATCCAAAAATCACCCAGATCAGATCAGGGGTTCAGAAATTATATGGAAGTCATATTTTTGCCCTGGCAAACCCAGGCTTTCATGCCTAAAACAATTCCATAGATTTGCGGCTAAGTGTTGCTGGAGGACCGACCTGGAACCGCAAGGTTTTCATGCCGAAAATATTTCCACGGCATTCGTGGCTAAGTCCCCCTGAAGTCTATTCATGGTTTTAGTCCATGTGAATAAGACGGCCGTCACCACGTGTTCGAATGTCGAATGGCAGCCACTTCAACTGTTCAGGAGTTTGAAGAACCAATGTTTAAAGTCCCAATAGGCACAATTAGCCTAAATAAATTAAAGGGGCCATAGTCACAGGGTAAATGGCTTGCCAGTAGTCCCTTCCAAGACCAAGTGGCGAAGTTGCTTTCATCACACTTAGTATTAATGAATATGGGAGGTTAAATTCCTACTCATGCCACTACCTGTTGTACTGTGGGTAGATGCATGCCAATGTCCAAACAAATAGAAAAAAGGTAATTGGGGGAACACCTAGGACATGCATTTATTAGATAAGCCCCCAATTCCCTTTTTTTTCTATGTAAGTTTGGACATGCATCAAGCACGGGACATGAGCTTGTCTTATATATTTGCCCTGGGGGTGCCCATCAGAATTATGAGGGTTTTCCTGTTGGCCAGTTTCCTGAGGTGCTAGTGAAGGAGCTGCAGTTTGGATTTGTGTAATTTTTTGTAATTGTCTGCTTTCATGGAATTGATTTTGAGCTATCCTCTGATGCCATGTGGCTGGATCATAGTGCCACAGGGTCCTGATCTGGAGCACTTCACAGGTAGATGGACGGTGGTCCAGGGCTATCCTCAATTTGGCTCCCAGCCTAGAATTGGATTGGGTGGCTGAATCTGCATTACTGGTAAGGTGTGCATCGAGTGGGGGTTGTAGTGTAACTCTGTTGGCTATGCGGTGCCAATACTCTTGGCAGATTGCTTCAAATTTTGCCTCAAACTGGACCTTCCACTCCTGGTCAACCAGGCCCTTTCGGGTTTGCATGGACTCCTGAGTGGCAGCCATCTTTGTGGTGCCGTGTGGGCACAGCGTGTGACTGTCTCAGCAGTTAAGGGGATAGATTAGGAGGCCCAGTGGGGAAAGGGATAACCCCTGCTGGTCCAGATGGGGGGTACAGGGCTGTCACGGATCTGCTTCATGCCATGCTCCTAATGCCGCAAGATCAGCCGCTTCCCCTAACCGTCGGCGAACCAAGCACAGTAGGCCTCAGGCACAGACCTGTAACACATGCACCAGGGCACTTCCATTTAGGACTGGAATGATGCGCTAGGCTTTATTGTTATCCTCCAGTAGTTTGGAAGCACAGTGTGCAGCTAAGTCCACTTAAAACAAGTAGTTTGCTCGTTAAATGTCAGGAGCTACATGCAAGCGCGTTCGGCCATCTTGGCTACCAGGCCCTGCCACCTGTGGTAAAATTTGAGAATGGGCTTCCTTAATCTAGATTTTGTATAAATTTTGGTCCCTATGGCAGCACCACTGCGGAGAAATGCATGTTCCGGGCCAAATGATCGTCTGGGGTTGCTCTATATCTTGTGCAGAAAGAACTTAGTGGCATTTAAGTTATGGACTGCCCTTATGGGTGGGATTAGTGGGATATGCCTTTGAACTGGTTCTCTTTGTAATGACACAAATGAGCAAAAACTATTTTGAGACCTGAGTGGGGATTTACCGAAGGGTAAGCTACTGCATTTCTCTAAGCTTTAATTCATTCTCAGAGTTCTCATATTCTCTGTTTGTGTATGACTGTCTGCCTTTAACTGTATATGTGTGACTGTCCACCTATAACTGTGTGTGTGAGACTGTCTGCCTGTAACTGTGTGTGTGATTACCTGTAACTGTGTGTGTATGGCTGTCTGCCTGTTACTGTGTGTGTGTGTGTGTGTGCCTGTACCTGATCCTGTATGTGTGCGACTTTTGGCCTGTACCTGCGTTTACACATGGGCATACATGCATATTTTTTATCTGAATTAAATACTGTGACGAGACCAATCTCGCCACATTGCATTGGAGAAGCCTGGATGCTCGCCTGTTGCATTTGGATTATGGCCCCATGTTAAAAGGCTTGATTTTCCCCTGCAAAGACACGAAAGCCGGGTCATTTGGTGCTTGTCCTGTTTGAGCGGTGATACCCCAGATAGCTATGCCATGGAGCCCATTCGTATAATGAAAGACTATGGGAAAGACTTTGGCTCCATGGCAATTGAACTGTATGTGTGTGCTCTGAGCGCCATTCAGTAATAATGTGCGCCCAGATCTGAATGTACCTGTTTTGTGCAATGGCTGCACAGTTATATGTTTTTATGTGTTTTATTGTCTTTTGCTGCCATGTGTTCAATGGAGTTTTGCCTCTGTCGTTGGAGATAATTGGATTACTTCACAATTATCTCCAGGATAGAAGACTCTGTGGAACTGGTTTTGGGCAGAAAAGCCATGCTTCCTTTGGTCACAAAGGACTACGATCTATCTTGTGAACCACTGGACCAATTTGGATGATTTTGACGTATGTTTGTATTTGGAGTATGCTGATTCTGAAAATGTATGTTATGTGAATGTGATGCATACTTTTCAAGTTATGAATAATGTGGAAAAATTGTATTTCTCTGCTTGTTATAATTACATTACCCATTGTATAAGGTAATTGAATCACAGGCAGAGGGGAGGATTTTGTGTGGGAGTGTCTGAGTGTATTGTATGTGTTTATTGGTTGTGTTCCAAAACCCTGTGGGTGGTACTAATATGTATATAAGGACAATAAACCCACAGCTCTGACTGTTCACTGCTTGACCCTCAACATGGAGCCTTGTCTTGTTCTTGGGGGGATTTATTGTATACTGTTCCAGTTTGACTGCTAGGAGTGTAAACCTATTCGTATGTTTTTTCCTATTCTGCTGTTTACAGCATTCATATGGTTTCAGTTCGGCTGTTTACAGCATTCATATGGTTTCCTGTTTGGCAGATTAGTGTTCTGCAGTAGCTGTGCCTGTGTCTCTGGAAGGGAAGATCTACTAAACGGCGGTTTAACTCTTTTATGCCTGAGGGTGCTGTTACAAATACTCATCACATACTGCCAATAAACCTTGCACAAACATCACACACAGTCAATACATTCATTACAAATATCACAAACGGCCATCACACACAGACAAGAAACATTACATCATATTATTATGAGATTTACTACAGTGGAGCATTGTAACACAAAATGCACATTACTCCGTGTTTCATAGTAGGAACACTCTGTGATACACTAAAAAGCACAATACTTATAGTTTTGTTGTTGTGGAGCTCTGTGACATAATGGTACACACCCCATAGTGACACAGGAACTTTTTTTTGCTATAGAGGTCAGTGATACATGGGTACATGGATAAATAACACATTACTGTGAGTTTTTATTCCATGAAAAATTCAGAGCTCCAAAGCAAAACAATTTGCTGTATTATGTGACAGTGGCACATAATACTTAGTCTGAGCCTCTTTAATACTGTGGAGGTAGTCTGGCACCTCTGGCCTGCACCTTTTGGCCAATCAGAGTATTGCTGTGGACTACCACAGAAACCTCTGGCACTGTAAGAACAATTACTCATTTTCTACATCCTGTGGAGAAGCAGACCAGATTTCCAGCTCACAGGACCACCAGAGATCAGCATGCCTCCCTCCCTGCAAAAGAACAACAGGGAAGGGAGAATTAATATATATATTTTGTTTTGTTTTTAAATAATGATTAATTTAACCAATTCCTATACAAGGACTACATCCCAATACAAACATACTATACATGCTTAAAAGGGTATGACCAGTGATGGGCGCTGTGAAGATTTTTCGCCAACGCAGAGAGCAAACGACAGATTTGTGAAATAAAAGTTACTCTGGGAAGTCATAAGCTTTTCTTAAAAGATGGGTTTTCATGGACTTCTTAAATGATTGAAGACTAGGGGAGAGGCTGATGGGACTCTGGAGAAAAAGGTGCCTAAAATCACCTTTTTACTACGAATGGAGTGGGCTAATAACTTAGACAGCTACTTCTGGACCATAGTGTTTGTATTCCTGGCACTATAGTGTCCCTTCAATAGTACCATAATGCTAAAGCTAGGAATGAATGGCCAGGTGACACACAAAGGATTGCTGGATCCCTCATGCTCATATGGAGGTCAAGACTTGGAGAATAATTTTAAATTTGGGCTGGTTGCGTGTTCTGAAAAATTCCTGAATTCTGAGCCAAAATATACTTAAATGTCAGACTAATTGAAACACAAAATAACACTTTTAGGAGAGCAGGGTTCAATATTAAAATCGTGTACATACCAATGTATGTGTTCCAATAATTTATTTACATTCCCATGTGTGTCCTCATTAAGTAAATGAATCTAAGTTTGTCAAGAATGGACAACATTTTTGTGCTCTACTTTTTTTTAATTCACAGCACAGCCAGAGCATGCCATATAAATTACTTTAATCTCTGCAATTAAACTTGTATGACAACATGTTTGCTTATGGCATTTTTATAAAGATGCCTAAATGGGCATGTTGTCACACACATACCCAGCAGTGGTACAAGCATTTTTTCACTTACCTCTAATGCACTATTCACCCCACTAAATGTTTCAGTAGCATAGCATTTAATAGATTGAGGGGGTGAGAAAATTAATTTTTCTCACTTAAATTTTTTCTTCCCACAATGTTAATTGGAGATACAAGTATACATCTATAAAAAAAAAATAACCTTGTGCTAATGGGAACTTTTCATGATGATACCTCTGCCACAAATCAGAGGAAAAGCAATTCAAATAATTTAAAGCATGAATTGGTTGACAATCGCATCATTTGTCAGCAGCCAAACTCCTGCTACCTACATAGTAACAAAACATAAATAAATAGGGCATGTCAGAGGCTTATCATCCACTTCTGAGAGCAACATTTCTGAACAATATTTTTTTTAGGAGAGTATATTAGGCAATTGACTTCCCTGTTTTATCTATATGCTAATTTTATGACATCATTTTGGCGGGAATTTTAAATTTAAAGTACTATTACACACTATATAAGCTTATGTATGTCAGGTATGCCCCCCCCTCTTTCCTACTATCTACTTGAAGAAGCCTGTTAAGGTGAAACGCGTTTAGATATTAATAGATTTTGTTCTTAATTTTATAATAAATATATTTTATTGGCATAAAATACTTTATTGCCATTTGCTTTCTCCTTTACCTGATTTTACATACATTTTCTTTTAATTGATTTTACGTATACGGCTCACCCTGCAGGAAGTGCAAAGAATCCATAGGTGGGGATTATACCACCCAAGCGCCTTCACTGAGCAGTTTTGAGTCTGCTCTACTTTACATATTCAACTATCAAAATTCACTCCATATATCCTTGAAGTGGGGATTATTCCACTTTACGCGAGCAATATCAGAGCTGATCCTAGCTCTGAAAAGTGTGAGTAAGACTGATTTTATACTTTTATATTTATTTTATACACCGATTTACTGTGCCATTGGAGTCCTGTTTTTATTTTTCTCTCCACATATGCTGAATTTTCAACATTTGAAGATACGATCCCATCTACACCCTACAGAATATTCCTTTACAAGTGGGACCTACCCTCACGGACTGTGATAAGCCTATTTTATTGGACTATTGTTTTATTACTTATTTTATTCTGTATTTTATCTGACTAATTTAGTCCTTTATTTTATCAAGTTTTAGGTGCATCCTTATATCTTTGTTTGTTCTTGCTATCAATTGATTAATGCTACTCTGGTTAGTGGCCCTCCCTTTATCTTGTATTAAATCCAAAGACGTATGACCTTTGTGCCTAACTGTGGCAAGTTTCACATTCAAAAATCATGCAAGATGAGCCACTATGACAGCAGTGGCGTCGCTAGGGGGGTGGCAGAGGTGGCCCTTGGGCCCCCCAAATGCCAGCAACTTGCTGGCCATGGGCTTCAATTATATTCCCTCAGACTGTAACAGTCTTTGACAGCCCAAGGGAATGCAGTGCT